TATAATCTGGAGTGACTTAGTTCAGGGCACCACCTTATTTGTGATCTCCACAAGTAAGGGTGTTTTTTTAGAATAGGTTTAAAAAGTATTCCAACATATATACAGCTAACATCTCTTATTTGTGGATTTTGACTAATATTTATAAAACAGAATCTATGTTTTACTCTAATCCCATCATAGTGCACATTAATTGACTTCACGTGGAAATTGCATTTTTTTTTAAATTTGGAGAAAACAGTGCAAAGGATTGAACTGTATTCCTACTCTGCACAAAGAAGAAACTAGGGCTGAAAAGGTGCAGTTAACTTGCTGAAAGTCATAAATAAGTAAGTGCTAGAATTAAGAGAGTCTATGAAGTCCATCTGATTGAGCTTTATATTTTTCACACTCACCTGACTCCTTCTGCACAGTTTTAAGTAGCCACACCTTTATCAGAAAATGGTGTTACTATTTCACTAGGATTAGTTATCTAAATTATTGATGAAAATTCAGGGAGAGTTGAGTATAATAATCTACATCTTTTAGTAGAATCATTTATACATTCCTAAACCAGTAAAAGAATAATTTGGAAACTAAAAGTGTATTTAAATTTCAAAATTTATATAGTAATGAGAGTCTAAACCATCATTTCAGATAGTATACACACACACACACACACACACACACACACACAGAGAGAGAGAGAGAGAGAGAGAGAGAGAGAGAGAGAGAGGTACCTGGATTACTCTGATTTATTAACATTGTTTTTTTTGTTTAGTCAAACTTTGAGTAAAATTCAACAGTCGACACAACTCTTTCATATTGTAGTCTTGTCCAAGCCATGTAAATAGAGAATGATATTAGGAGATAATTTATTCATTGTAGCAATAGTTTGAAGGGGAGTCAAGATCAATCTTTGATGGGTTTCACCAACTCAATAAACTTTCTGTAGTCATGGTTCTCACCTTCTTGGTCTGTCTTTTATCACTGTAATTCACAATTTTGTGTCTGAAATTCTCAGGAGCAAATGCTTCAAAAATTTTAAACCATATATTAATTATGTAAGATTCATAGAAAAGTCTGAAGTGATATTACTGAATCTAACAAAACAGTAATTCTTCAATGAAGCATAACTATCCTTTTCAATATAAAGAGATTATAAATTCATTAAATATCATATTTTGTGAAGTATCTGTTGGAATTATTGTGCTAATATTTAGTACAATTCTTCTCAATACTTTTGTTTGTTGTGTGTGCTTGATCAATGTTTTTCTTAATCATTAGTTATTTTGTGTCCTATATAATGTTTCAGATATAAGCTTTATCTTGTGGAATTTATTTTTGTGTATGGATTGGGTTATAGGCCACAGTTATGTTTTCTCTGTAGCTTGATAAGCAATTAGTCTTGTCCAGCTTACTTACATTCTCGTCTCCTGCCCCCTCCTGGGCATGATACTGCTAGTTTTCTGTGGGCTGATGGTTTTGATGTGTCCCATTATCGAATTCTCTTTTTCTCCTTTGCTGTTTGGTTTATTTCTGTGTTTTTATCTGAAGAAAGATAAACCTATCTTTATTCCTGTAAAAACCAACTATCTGTGTACACAAATTACAGTCGAAGTCCTTCACATTTCTTATCCTGGATGACTTTGGTTGATCAGGAGTTTTCAATAAGCTTGTCTTCTTTAGAATCAGTTTCCCAATTTCTGCGGACAAACAGTCTCTTGGAGTTTTTATTGTGTGTGATTCCATTGAACTTGTATATAATTCTGGTGAGAATTTTTCTTTAAATTTTGTAATATCATCTTTCCCGGTGTGAGTGACAGCCCTATATTGTTTTATTACTGAATTTGGTGGGTTTGGAAAAATTTAGAAGCATAGAGCAGTACACATAAAGCAAAGTTAATTCAATATCAAACACGAAATGAGTCTGAGGTTTGTGGCAGGGGTCACCTGTGTGTCATCACACAACTTCATTTTAGACTCGGTTTCTGAATGTAGCAGGCATGCACTTTGCATCATACAGTGTTGCCACTGGTACCTGGAAGACTTCAACTCAAAGACGGTTCTTTGTTATGAATTACAGTGCTTTTGCAATACCAACAAAGGTTTCTATTTTTACAGAAACATTATTCTTTAATAATTTTAAAAGCTAAACATTTAATATTTGTAGATTTGTTATTCTGTGTTATCTCATGCTAGCTTATCTTTGGATTGCTTAGAGTTAGAATGTTTGATTTTATAAATTTCCTTTTGAGTTGCTTTTCATAAAATGTACAAAGAATATTTGCTTGGAGTTGTGACAGAATTTCTAATAACTTCTGAAATGGCTCTAAACATGCTCCTAATATTTTGTAGTACTACATATTTATGCTGCATTTTATATAAAGCAACATTCTAATCATTGACAATTATAAAATATTGATAAACCCTGAACACATATGAAGATGCTCTATATCCTAAAATATCCAATAATCAGTCAATATTTAATTATTTGTGCAAGAATAAATGGGCCCATCTGTCCCATTAGTATGAAAGTTTACAATCATCTTTAGTAACTGACAAAATTAAATGTATACTAGAGAACTATTTAAAATATATTTCTTTATGATTTATTCTTAACACTTCTTCTATTGGTCTGCCTATTTTATATACCATCATATCTGGGACTCTTTGGCGGGGGAGGATGCTGAGTAGGGACCATAAACAGAAACAGTTTGAAAATACTGTTTCAACCCACAGTGATACATGCTGTGTCTCGGATTAATGGAGGCTTTCTTAAACTTCTTTCAGAATTGATAGGGTGATTTCTGAGCAAGCATCTTGTGAGTTTTTATTGTTTGGTCACAGGCACTTGATACTTGCTCATGTTACATGAAATGGCATTTCAAAATTTTCTTTTCATAATTCTTGATCTTAGTATAAATATAATTTGGTTTTATAATACTGATTATATAGCTAGTGACTATGTTAAAATAATTTCTTAATTCTAATATCTGATGTGTGCATTCTTTATGTATTTTACAAATACTTTATTGTATTTCTTTTAAAGTTGGGAAATATTGTTCCAAATACCTGAAAAAAAAAATGTATCTCTTAGTCAGTATTCTATTGCTGTGAAGGGACACCATGACCATGGCAATTCTTTTAAAGGAAGCATTTAAGTAGGGTTTGCTTACAGTTTTAGAGATCCGTTATCAGAATGATGGGAAGCATGGTGGCATGCAGACAGGCATGATGCTGGAGGAACTGAGAGTTCTATATCCAGATCCCCAGGCAACAGGAAGAGAGAGCAACTGAATCTGCCTTGGGCTTCTGAACCTCGGAGCCCACTCCCAGTGACACACTTCCTCCAACAAGGCCACACCTCCTATTCCCTGTCTAGTAGTGCCACTCCCTAATGACCAAGCACCAAGTAAGCACACACACACACACACACACACACACACACACACACACACACTTACACGTATCTTTGTCTGCTATTTTAAAATCTGTACTAAATAATTCCAGGACTTTACACATTTGGTCCTATTTTATATTTTTTCCTAATTTGATTTTTCACTATTTTAATATTTTACTTGTCACTACATTTTTTTCATGTACTATATTTTTCTTTTACATATTATGTACTTTCTGTCCCATTCTGTTTTTGTCCATTCTATTCTATTCAGTTTGTGACCTATTCGGTTGTCCATATCATACTATTCAAGCGTGTGTCTCATTCCCTATTTCATTCTATTCTGCACTTAGTCTCCATTTCATTGCATGCTACTTTCTTTTTCAGATGCATTTGCCATTCCACCTTATTTAACACACCAAATACCATTCTGTTCTATTTCTGTGGTCCAGTCCAGTTGCTCATCCATTCTGTTAAGTGTCCCATTTGCTTCTGCTAAAATTATAAATGTACATAGGCTTATATCAAGAATTTCTTCCTCTGAGAAGTGATCCACAATAAAGGCACATTTGAGTATGTGGGCAATCTTTAATGAGCTCACTAGTGTGTATCTCACACTGATGAGAAAAGACAGAAAGAGCATAAATATTGATTAGTACAAGAATGCTTGAAAACATGTTTCCTCCCCGATAGAACTATGTTTTAGTTACAAGACGGTATGGTGGGTACTTTGTTGTTTTGAGACCGGTCTCAGCATGTAGCCCAGAGGGACCTTCAAGCTGAAATCCTGCTCTCACCCTTCCCAGTGCTACAATCACAGGTGTGAGATAGCACACTTGGCTCCTTGTCAGCATTCATTGACATGGAAAATGTACCTTCTGGACACCCCCAAACAAGTTACAAGATAATACTTCTGCATGAACATTTCTATTTTCCTAAAATTAGGAAACATGTATGGATGGCTCTTCTCTGAAGATATAATTTAGCTTTCTCAGTATTTGATTGTAGGCATGAGAAAATTTAGTTGTTGTTTTTGTTTGGCTTTTATTTGTTGTTGTTGTTGTTTTTCAAAACAGGGTTTCTTTATGTATCCCTGGCTGTCCTGGCTGCCTTGGCTCTAGCTCTGTAGACCAGGCTGGCCTAAACCTCACAGAGATCATCTGCCTCTGCCTCCCAGTGCTATGGCCTAGTTGCCGATTTTGATACATTTGCTTTTCTGTTTGGGGATACCCAAAACAAAGCCCTTTTGTAATAATTAAAAATGTGTGTAAATATTAAACTTAAAAGTTCTATGCAAACGGTAAGTAGGAAAAAAAAAACTAGAAGAGGAGCCCAAGTCAACTTATCAGCTGAATCTTAGGCAGCCTGGTCTGTGCCTCAGGGCAAGCCAGGGAGAAATGCCTTTCTGCAGAGCTGTAAAGCCTGGTCTGGTGTTTGGGACTGACATTCCTTGCTCAACATTTCAAAGGTAAGGCAATGTGGGCCTTATCATTCCCTTTGAAATCCTTAGACCACCTCAGCAAACTTAAAACCCTACCTGGTTGCTTAAAGGACAGAAGTAGGGTCTTACATGGCTTAGGAGATAGAGCTTATAGGTCAGCGTATAGTAAATGGTTAACCAAGACTGATTCACGAAGTGATGAGCAAACTCGTTTTGGGGGTTGCATATGATTCATGTGAATGTTCCCACCCCAAACATTCTCAGGACAGGATGCAGGGCTTGTGAAATTTAGACCTTTGTCCCCAGAAAGTGTGATTGGGGTAGGGGGTCGAAGAGCACACCAGAAGCCACTAGAAGATTCCCTGGCCTTTAGCACAGCAGGAGATGACGACAGGTGAAGGGAGGTTCAGCAAAAAATCTCCCGGAAGTTGAATTTGGTAGCACTGTATTACTTACAGCTGTCGAATCAGGGGCTAGAATTGGGCCAGCTCCACCTACTCTCCTACTTCCTCAGTTTTATCTCTACCGCATCACCGCTGGCTCGCCAGAAGTCCTCTCTCCACTGAGCAAGGAAGAAGGCAAGAAGCCGTTTTCTTACCTGCAAGAAACTGGTAAGCCGATATGGCCAGCCATTCAACCTTAAAGAAGGGGCAGAAGCACCCCCAGGGCAACGTTTCGGGGTATATGGACACACCTAGAAAAACCTCTCGGCCCCGCAGAATGAATCCTGTTGCCTCAGTTCTCCCGACCGGCGGTGGTGCCTCTGTGACAGACAAAGTTCTCCAGAGCATCACAGCCAAACCTGCAACATCTGACTCCATCTCTGTGGCTGGTGAAAATCCGGAGAGTCAGCATGCCAACCTCCAGGGTAGCGGTGGCCCTGGCAGTCCAAACACAAAACTTGGACGTGTTGGGCCCTGGACAAGGAGCCACGGAGAGAGGGACCAACCCTCGGAAGGAGCCACCTCGGCCAGCGGGAACCCGGCTCAGACAGAAAGTAGCAGAAGGAGGAAGCAGCCCAGCCGAGACCTAGCTACAAGATGTCCAGGTGAGCTTCAGCTTCCGGAAGCTACAGAAGAGCCTTCTGTGTCTCAGCCATCATATTCTCTGAGATCTCACCGCTCTGAACCTTCCGTGCAGAGCCAGAAATTCTCAGGATCTGACACCATGTCACACCAGGTGTCTACTCGGGCTTCTAAGACCCGCAGCCAAGCTGTTCTGCCTGTCTCTGGTGGTCCCAAGAGTGCACCTGAGTTCAGCTTTGACGAAGGGCACGCCACTGCTGCTGGCCAGAATCTCCGTCAGCAGGCCACTCTGCAGGTTCCTGATCTTGGTCTTGGTCACGGTGACTCTGAGGTCAGCCCTGGTTCCAAAGGCGGCGTGATTGTTGAAGGCAGGGTACTCCGCTCACGTACCACTGCATCTGGTCAACATAGCAGTGCCTTGGAGGTCAGCCCTGGCGTCCGCCGCCCAGACCAGCGTTTACGCCCTCAAGCCACTCTACAGGATCCTGTTGTTGGCAGCACTACTGTGGGCCGTCGTTCTGATACTACAGGCAACCCCACAACACCACGCAAAGGCCCCCGTGTGTCCGGGCCTAGCTCTGACCGCCCAAGCCATGGAGAAACCGTGGAGCCTGCCCCTGGCCCTAGCAGCCAGACCCAAGGAAGCCTGTCCACCTCGGCGACTGAATTTCCGAAGAGCACCGAAACGGAAACCGGCGGCTCTCCTCCAAGGCGCCCAGTCCGTATGCGGGCCTCTTCCCCTTCACCGGGTAGGCGCTATCTTTTGATTAGGCCGTTTACTGGGGCCCTCTCCTCTTTCTCCTCATTTCCTGACACTTTGGATATTCCAAGTTCTGGCTCTTCCTCAAGCAGTTCGCCTGACCAAAGTCCCTGCCCCTCTCCTTGAGCTCTATCTGTGCTCTTAGATCAGATAGCCTTCGGCGTGCCTTTACTTGTGACACGGATAACCTGGATTCTTACATTTCTGAAGAGTCAGAGGAAGAAGTAGGGGATTTCCCCCCCACTTCCCTACTCCACCGGTACTGTGACGTTTTGTGAGTGTCCTCCGAGACTGATAAAAGGAATCAGGACCTATCCACTGTTTTCTGTGTATGAGGTTTCGAGGACTTCTCCCTGTTCACCATTCAGAGCACGTTTGAAACCCCTTGGCCCGGGCTATCCAGCACTTATAACACCTTTGATTCCATTCTGTGCTTGTTTAAAACAACTTGGGTTTTATTGCTAATGGGCTTTTCTTTTGACTCAGAGTTTTGCTTTCCAAGTTGCCTTTTATGTAGTTAAGCATTTTAATAAAAGTGTTAAACTTTATTCAAAGAATTGAGTCTCTTTACTGTGGTACTATTACTTTTAGGAGTTCATATTTGGAGAATTAAGGAGAGTCGTTATCATGCGGCTGAATCTTTGGAAGGAATGAGCCATAAAATACTAACCTAGAACTGTCGGACATGGAGCTCTGTCCAACAAGTTAGAACAGGTGATTGGAAACGGGAAAAAAGCCCGTGAAGAGCCAGGAAAAGGCAGGGTGGCATGATCTCAAGTGGGGAGGGAAAAACGGAAAGAGGGAGAGGGAAGAAGACTTGATAAGAAGGAAAAAATTACTGAGGCCCAGTGCCTGAAGATAGGGGCTCAGTTTTTATAGCAGAATGGTGTCTATGTGTTGGAAGTGGGGAGGGGGAGGGGAAGAAGACGGGGTGGACTTTCTGAGGTCTGGGGTGAGGCTTGGTCATAGGAGGGCAACGTAAGGTTAATGACTAAAGGCACAGGTGACACGGTTTTCATCAGATAGTTGAATGCGTGTTGGTGAGTAAATCCATTGTGAAAAATCTTTGTACATATGAGAGGCAGACATTTGGAGAGAAATTCATGAATATTGTGTTTCCTAAATATTTCGGGTGAATGGTCTTCAGTGTTTTAAATTTTTCACTTTAACCACGTAATTATTATGACAGAAATTAGCAGTTCAGAAATTTGAGCTGGAAGCATAGTAAGAGATGAGTTAAAAATGCAAATGAAGCCAAGAAAGTACCCCTCTCATTTCTCCTTGTTTCTGGTATGCAGCTAATAGAAGCATAGACCCCGACTTAGTCCTGACCCTTCATAAATTTTTCCTCATTAATTAATTTTTAATAATTAAATAATTAGATTAATTAATTAGATTATTAATTAATTAATCTATTTATTTATTTAATTATTAAAATTTCCACCTCCTCCCATCATCCCATTTTCCTCCCACTCCCCCGACTCCCCCTTCTCCTCCCTCTCCAGTCCTAAGAGAAGTCAGGGTTCCCTGCCCTGTGGGAAGTCCAAGGCCCTCGCCCCTCCATCCAGGTCTAGGAAGGTGAGCATACAAACAGACTAGGCTTCCCAAAAGCCAGTACATGCAGTAGAATCAAAACCTGGTGTCATTATCATTGTCTTCTCAGTCTGCCCTCATTGTCAGCCACATTCAGAGAGTCCGATTTGATCACGTGCTCATTAGTCCCAGTCCAGCTGGCCTTGGTGAGCTCCCATTAGATCAGTCCCACCGCCTCCATGGGTGGACACACCCCTCGCGGTCCTGACTTCCTTGCTCATGTTCTCCCTCCTTCTGCTCTTCATCTGGGCCTTGGGAGCTCAGTCCAGTTCTCCAGTGTGGGTCTCTGTGATCCTTCATATTTAAATATATATATATATATATATATATATATATATATATATATATTGTTTTCTGAGATGTGGTTTCTCTGTGTAACTTTGACTGTCCTAGAACTTGTTCTGTAGATCAGTCTGGCCTCGAACTCAGAGATCCGCCTGCCTTTACCTCCGGAGAGCTGGGATTAAAGGCATGAGCCACTGCCACCTGATTGAAAATAATGCTTAAGAAGCCTTGGTAATGCTTCTTAAAATCTGACATTTTGACGGGGTAGCCACAGAGGAGCTCACTGACTAGGAAGCTCACATGAGACCAACCTAGGCCCTTTGTATGTGTGTGAAGGTTGGGTGGCTTGGTCTGTTTGTGGGGCTCCTAGCAGTGGGATCAGAACCTGTCCCTGGCACTTGAGTTGGCTTTGGGGAACCTATTCCCCATGCTGGGTTGCCTTGCCCAGCCTGGATGCAAGGGGAGGAGCTTGGCCCTTCCACAACTCCATGTGCTTGTTGTTGCTCATGGGAGGCCTGCCCCTTTCTGACCATGGAAACAGAGAAGTGGATGGGGGCAGGTAGATGGGGGGAGGAGATCGGGAGGAGAGGAGGGAGGGGAAACTGTGGTCAGTATGTAAAATAAATGAAAAAAATTAAAAAGGTCTGACATTTCACAGAAATAAGAAGTGTTCTTGTTCTAATGTCCTAATACTCTGTCACTTTTGAAGAAAAAGTTTCAGATACCCTCATTCCCTAAGGCTGCTTCCAGGGCTTGCAAAGTTCTAGTCTCAAGGTCCTTCCTAAGGTACTCTAAACATACAGACACACACACACACACACACACACACACACACACACACACACGTTTAGGCCTCCGGTAGTCATGAAGATGGCTGTGGTAGCAGAGGGTAGAAAAACCTTTAATATACAAGCTGAGACTTTCACAGGGTTAGGAGTAGTGAGACATCTCACGGAAAGCGCAAACACTGATTAGGAGTCTTGCTTGTACTTTTGTTCTATAGACTAAATGGATTAGTGAATTACCTGTGTGTATAAAACTTTTGTAGCTTCAAACCAAGAGATTTAGAGACAATCATATATGTGTGTGTGCATATGTGTGTATGTATATATTATTGCCCATGTAATATCTCCCCATGCCTTGGACTTAGGAAGAACAACACTTGTGTGGTAGATGAGGTTTCTTCCCCCAGTGATCCATCATTATGGGGTCAGAGATGTCAGCCACCTCATGAGATACTTGTACTTTAGCTCCTGAGTTTTCTATCTGCATGGGAATAGACCCTTAGCCAGTGTCTCTAGCTCAAACAGCATAACCAAATCTGTTTAAACCCTTTTGACTGCAAACTCTTCTCCTAAGCTTTGACCCTTACCATATTCTCTCTTTTTTAAAGTACCAAATGCTAACACAAAGCAGATCTCCCCAAAAGAGAAAGAAAGCAAACTAGCATACGAGATTTATATTAAACCTGTGTATATTCCCCATACTTTAAATATTCTCTAAGTTATTTAAAATACTATAAATTCAATGATAAGTAAGAAAGTGTTACTAATAATGATAAGAAAAATGTACACTTTTTTGGGTAGATACATTTTTACTCCTGAGTGTGATATGCCATTGGTTGGATCTGACAATTTATCCTTCCCTCCAACACAGATACTGATACCATGTGCATAATGTGATGGGTGTTGTTTTTTCATATCTACCTAAATTTTTAGGTATTGGATAGTACCTTATAACCTACATTCATGGAAAATATCTGTGTCCTTGTTAGGTTTTTGTTGTCAGTTTGACACATGCTAGAGTCTTATGAGAAGAGGTGACACAATTGAGAACATGCCTCCATAAGATTGGTCTTTGGCAAACCTGTAGGGCATCTTCGTGATAAATGATTCATGTGAGAGGGCCCACCTCCCAAGTGAGCAGTGGGGATGGCGTGCAGGTGTACCCACCTCAGAAGGTAGTCCTGGGTTGTATAAGAAAGGAGGCTGAGTAAGTGATAAGGAGCAAGCCAGTAAATAGCTTTGCTTCATGGGTTCTGCTCGGTTCCTGCCCTCATTTCCTGTGATGATGGCTTTGTGATATGGAGATATGAACTAAATAAATGCCCTCCCCGAGAGTGCTTTTGCTCATGGAGTTTTATCACAGAAATAGAAACCCTAACTAAGATAACATACATAATATTTTTGTCCTCTATAGTTGTTTTGTTTCTGTGTGGGTTTGAGACAAGAGGAAAAAAGACATAGGGCCACTACTGTCACCAATTTCCCATAATCTCTACTACCAAATGTTCTTAGTCCTTGAACAATGTGCCTGATGATAAGAACAGTGTGTATTGTCGGGTTATTTATATTTATAGAAAGAATACAATGGAATTCATTATCTCCACTAAGGGAATAAAGTAGAAAAAAATTAAATTTATTGAAGAGAAAGAAGGACGAGCAGATGAAGGGAAGAAGGGAGGTTGGGAGAGGGACTAGGAAGAGAGGAGGGAGGGGGGAAATGTGATCGGACTGGGAAAAAAATTAATAAAAATATTTCAATTTAGTCATGAGACTAAAAATCCACTAGATGTATGTGCTACACAATTTTTTGAAAAGTGGAACAAATACTGAGGACAAAGGTTTTTTTTTTTTTTCAGAAAAGGTGTCCTATAACCCAGGTTGGCTTCAAGTTTGGTATGTAGCCAAAACCACCTTCCAGCTGAGCCTCCTGCCATCTAGTAAGACAACAGGCATGCGACAGCACACCCTGGTTTATGAGGTGCTTAGGAGTGAACACAGGGCTTCTTGCATACGAGGCAAGCACTCTACCAACTGAGCTACTTCATTACCCTCTGAACAGATATTCACTGTTTTTCGTCTCTTTCTTGAGTGGCTGTACAGTTTTCAGTGCTTCAGACTAGAAGCAGAATATTTGCTCATTTCTTTATTCACTTCTTTGTATGGTTGCCAGAGATCAAACCTAGAGCTTCAGAAAATGCTAAGTAAGCACTCTCACTGGACCACACTCCAAGCCCTAGAAATGGACACTTTTTAATGTGGTAAATCTTACAACTTACAATTAATTGAGAGCCAACATTTATTTACGTTTTACAGGTGTGTCTTCAGTTCTGCCATGTGTGTACCACTTTGCTCCTCCGTCTTCCCCACCTCTCCCTCACATTGGACTGGCATTGGGAGCTGCTGTGTATCATGCAGTATACGCTTTTGCCCAAAGAACTTTCTTCATCTACAAATGTTCATGGC